GGGGTTTATGATTGTCGCAGGTTTGTTTTACAATGGAAACTTGAAAATAAGAATAATGGAAAAAATGTTTATACCAACATACTTTCAAGAGTATTGCAGTTCAATACGTCTATGTATTGCAGTTCAATAACGGATGGCCCACCAGCGGCCGAGTGGTAAAGTCGCTGAACACTGGTAGTTCGGTCCGAGGTTCGAATCCCGCGAACGGTCTGGCTGCATGGGCGTTTTCGTGGTTTTCCCCATGTGTAACGTGTATATGAGCCAGTTTTCCTTAGAAAGTCCACCACGAAGGCATTCCTCCCCTTAGGCAGATAGCCCTCGAGGCTTTGCCATAATCACACACACACACTCAATAACGGACAGTAGTACGTCAAAAGTGGCACTACTATCACTTTTTTATAACATTCTATGAATGTTCTTCTAACGTTCTAACAGAACGTTCCTTTAACGTTCTGGCAGAACGTGGTGAATCACGTCAATATGTTACAGTTCAATAACGGGTAGTAGAACGTCGAAAAATGGTGTTACTAACAATTTTATAAAACGTCTCTTGAACGTTATATGGAAGCTCCGTTAACCTTCTAACAGAACGTTCCTTCAACGTTCTAACAGAACGTTCTGGTTAGAACGTGGTGAATCAGCGTCAAGAACGTTTCTTCCAATAACAGGCAGTTCAGGCAAAAAAATGCGTTCTGAACACTTGTAAAACGTCTGTAAGATGTAGTTCATTAATGGACAAGAGAACGTCAAAATGTGGTACTAATAACAATTTTATATAACGTTACTAGAACGTTATATGAAATTTTCTATAACGTGCTAGCAGAACGTTCTCTTAACGTTTGGGCAGGCGTTCTGAATGTCGTCTATAGATTAAAGGTTTATAACGAGCAGTAGCATGTCAAATACTTGTACTGTTCCCCCATAACACAAGACATCCTCAGGATATCCCATTTTAGTTGCAATGTCCCGGGAAGCAGTTAGGATATCCTGAGGATGTTGATTCTCAGATATCCTGAAGACTTCTTAAGTCAACATCCTGAGGATATCGTATTCAAGTCTCAATGTCTCGGGATATATGAAGATCTCCTCAGGATGTTGATTTTCAGATATCCTGAGGACTGCGTAAATCAACATCTTAAGGATATCCTGTTCAAGTCGTAATGTCCCGGGATATATGAAGATCTCCTGAGGATGTTCTTTCTCAGATATCTTCAGTACTTACTTTTTATGGAAGCTCATATCTGAAAATATTAAAATAAAGTAACCTTGTACCACACGCAAGTGATGTTATAAGAATCGAAATCTTACTCTATGGATTACCTATTTTGCATATGAAAATTTAATTGTTATGCTTACGCACTTATTTTTGTCTTGTATATGTTGGCTGTAAGTATTAAGTTATAATGTTTTCAAATTTTTGTTTTTGTTTCACAATGTCTAGTGATCAGAGTCCTTTCTTACAAATTATAGGCACGTGTTTTCAGCCGTTTTGAGTTTCATATTGAAATTGTGTTTACGATTAAATTCTAATTGCTACATAATATATTTGTAACATTATTTTAGATACTTTTCTAATATCTTTGAACACAAATATTATTTACGTTACAGGTTAGCTCAGAAAAACCTTTCATGAAGACATTTATCCTATGAACAGATGGGCATGATGTACATCCATGCCTTATCTGGCATTCGAACTTGAGCCCTTCTGTACGGCAATCTGTCACTAATCACTTACTCGTCTCTGAGGCACTAATCAGAAACATCAAGTTATAAAAGTATTCTATTAAATTCATCGATAGTTCTTAGCATAGAAATAACTATACTTTGAAACTGCAAAAGAAAAAAATACTTTTTGATCTGTTACACTATTTTATTAGTAATGAATGATGTTTAGTACCGTGTAGTAATTAGTAACAATAATTTTTTTTTAACAAACGAAATTTTAGTTTACAGACGCAGTTAAAAACTAGTCTGTACGAGGTTTAACTTGCGTTAATTTGAATTTATAAACAGAAGAATAATTTTATTGGGCTAAAAAATTCATTGCAGTTTCTTCGTTCATTTTCTGGTAAGTTCTTTAATAATGAGAATTATTAGTCTTTCAAAGCGACTGAGGTAAAATGTAACTTCCTTTTTACCTCTCTGTAATAGGAAAATGAGGTTTAAGAATGGGAAGAACTAACATTAAGTTCTTACTCTCCTCAAACCTCAGTTTGCTACCTCTTTAAACATATAAATATTCGATCTTTGCTAAACAAAGCGCGAAAAAAATATATCCAGCGCTCTGCAGTCTTATACGTTATGCCGGCAATGCTACATGACTCCTCATAATTTAACAATAATTACTGCTTTATTAATTTATTTGTAACATCCAGAAAATACAGTAAACACGTTTGTTCAAGGTATATAACACAAAGTTAAATGTTGTTATGAAAACTCAAAATTAGATAGCAGATTAAATAGATGTTCAAACTTTAAATTAAAATGCTTTAATTTTTAAATTAAACGCGTTCTTTAAACTCAGCAGTTTTATTACTTTATTTTATACTATAAATAACAATTGAAGTTGAAAATCTTAAATCTTTGTTTACATTATTTATCATTGTTCGTAAAACTGCTTCTCAACTTTTCTTTGCTTTTGAGAAAGCGAGCTTCGCTAAGAATGTAACACCTCTAAGCACTTTTTCTGTAGCCGATGCCCCAAGAAGATTTCTCTTTTGTTAACGTGGCAGATTTATGTGTCAGACTTTCCTTCTTTGTATTCCCCTACAAGGGAAACATGGAGGTAGGAAACCATGAGGGAAGCATCCCTTCACAACAAAACCGTTGACGCAGAATGCCCCCCAACGGTTTTAATTGCTCCGTAATAGTGATATCCTTGAAGAACCCCCCAAAGTGGAAAGTACACGTACTTACTTTCTGATTTCCAGAATTCAGCTATTCTGCTAAATGTTAATAGCCGTCGTTCCAAATTCTGTTTCAGTTACGGAACTGACTTGCTGACGCTTGCAAGCGTTACATTGAGAGAATGTGCGAAAAGTAAGTTTCAAAATTTTTTCCTTTATTCTACAAAAATGATCAGAACTAAAAAACATTATCTCAGATATCTAAAAGACGGATTTACAGCAGAATAAATTAACGTATATTAGCGGATTCGTCAGAAGATGAAGTGAAAGTATTTAATTATGAAAAAGCCATTCTGTGTATCGAAATTTTAACGATTAGCATTTCTTTTTAGTTCCATTTCTAAAACGTGTGATTGGAAAATAAATAATTTTATTCTCAATCAGAACGGCGATGAGACGAGTCCAAAAACGATTAGAATTTTACGGAATAGAAAAAATAGGACTAAATAATATTCGGTAGATTTATGCAATAGTCTTCTAATAGTACAAAAATTGATTAGATGGTAGGCTAAGGCTCCATTGCCACGCTAAATGACCAGTTTTTAGTACTTGAATTTTAATGGACCCAGCTACTGGAAAATGCATTTTTAATCACGTCCGATATAAGTTCTTATGCAATTTCAGAAATCTACCACACATCTGGTCCCCTACTTAAGTTCACGTATATTTGATGGTGTAATTGTAGATAATATTGCAAAATTTTGAACTTCTACAAAATTGAACTTAAGTAGCAAGAACTGAATGTTGTAATAATTTAATCAACGTAACCGATTATAATCGAAGGTCCAATTAAAGGTTTAAATGGGCACAAATTGAAGTCAGTTTTGTAGAAAATGATCGAAAGTTTTGGGCTATTGGTTAATATCTTAAAGCAAAATTTTCTCTATAATATTTTGTATAATCAATTCATTTCAACTCTTGACTCTGTTTTAGATATATTTAAAATTATTAAATAAATTGAAATTCAAAAGAAAAAATAAATTGTATAAAAATTATTAACATTTCTTATTTCTCCATAGTAACCACAGATGGAGGACCTGAGACGCCTGGGAAAAAAAAGCAAGTTCAGGTTATCAAAACACCTTCACACTTTCACTGGAATATAAAGAAGATTTCGGGGATATAAATGGGGTTAACATTAAGCAGTTTGAGAGTATTTAAAGAGGTTAAAGGGATATTGTATTAGTATTTCAAATCCTGATAACATCCCATACGCGTCGGTGGGACTTAGATAGGATGTCCTAAGGATTACGGGGATGTACATAAGCACCGGGAGGATTTGGTTTTAGGAGGACCCGGAAACTGGAATTACGGGATTCAGAGGATAGTATTTGTAAGAGCGACTTTAAGCCAAAACCTCCCCGCTGTCATGTTTTTTTTGTGCTAATCCCGGGATGGAGTAGTACACTTCATCCGTATAACCTGAGGATCCAAAGAACGTTTCCGAATCATATTCCGGGATTTGAGGATAGGGAGCGTTTTGATGTTAACTTCTATACTAACGAACGTTCTAGAGCGTTTTGAGTTACGTCTAACTAGAACGTTCTGAGTTCGGTCTATATGTACAGACTCTGAGTGACAACTGTACGTACAGTTTGTATTGAAATTGAATAAATGTAATTGACCGCTATATCAGCTGCAACCGTAATTCCATCCTGCTATTGCTTTGAGAAATATCGAGAAGCAGGAAGTACTAGAAATTTCTCGCGCCCGTTGAAAATCTATAAAAGGCCAAAGAGAGAGCATCAAGTTCAGTTGCTTAGTTCCTGTTGTTGCAAGTTGTTTAGTTCCGCGTGAATTGAGATATTTGGATTAACTTTCTCTTTAGATACGCTTTAGAATGCGTTGTGTTTTTAAGTTTTTAGTAGTTTGAAATACAACTACTGATTATTACTGCGTGATATAGTGAACACTTGTACGAATATCTCTGAGGATAATTCCGGCGTTCTGTTATATTTCCTTTGATGATAATAAATGTTTATTAACTTATTATCGGACATGTACATTCAATCTGTTACGAACCCGTACGCACGCAATAATATGTTACCCAGATTTTCCATTTGAAATTGAAATGTATTCATAATTTTCTTGCAGACGAGAAGGAATGCGAGGAATGCATAGACATTTTGAAAGAACTCGAAGAGATCGATGAAGAAGCTGATTTGTTTGGGATCGGCTTTGTTAAAGTAAGCGACCCAGCTTCGGCTGTCAAGTGGGGAGTTCACAGTGTTCCGACCCTGGCCTATTTCAGGAAGAGAGTACCAGTTTTCTATGAAGGTAAATGTTTATCCCCCATTACTCTCACTCATTATTCTCTTCATACAGCTTTCAACTCATATTATTATAGCATTTGGTCAGAATAATAATTCTTCATATGACTTTCAATATATAATTCTAGGTGCTACTTTGGTAGACGGTTGCACGGATTTTTTGGCGATTTACGTTGGCGCAATTGTTGGCGCGATTTTTACAATCATCAGCCATCTTGAAAAAGTTTTTTACGCATAGTAAAGTATTCGAAAACTTAAAAAAAAAAAAAATAAATATCGTTAAAAGTAATGGATTAATTTTT